TATAAAATAAAATAAATAAATTTGTTCAAGTTCAAATGTTTTCTTTTCAGGAAGCATCTAGATTCTCCACTTCACTGCCATAGATGTCATCAGTATGCTTTCCCCTGTCTTTCTTGCTATGCCTGTTCTATCCTAGTATATCCTCCCAGCTCTGAGTAATCCTTTGTGTCCAATTCTACCAGGAAGTGCTTTGTCATTATATAATTTTGATAGCAACAGAGTAAGTCACTTAAAATTTTGTTTCAAAATGAAAATCTTCCTGGTAAATCATATCAGTGTCATGAATATTATATATTGATTTCACTTGGCAGAGCATCTAGGATTTTATTTTAAAATTGATGTGACAAAGGCTTTCATTTTTTTTTTACAGTGAATTTATAACCCACCTAGATTTTTAAAATCCTGTCTTCAAAATTATACTCTAAAATCCAAAACGTATCCTTTTTTCATAACTTCAAGTGTCTTTCTCCAACAGATGATTTCAAATTATTTACTCAAGAGATACTGTAGTCACTTTTTTTTTCTTTTTCTTGAGACAGAGTCTCACTGTGGCCCAGGCTGCATGCAGTGGGGCAATCTCAGCTCACAGTAACCTCCACCTCCCAGGTTCAAGGGACTCTTCTGCCTCAGCCTCCTGAATAGTTGAGATTACAGGTGTGTGCCACCACGCCTGGCTAATTTTCATATTTTTAGTAGAGGCAGTGTTTCACCATGTTGGCCAGGCTGGTCTTGAGCTCCTGGCCTCAAGCAATCCACCCACCTTGGCCTCCCAAAGTGCTGGAATTATAGACATGAGCCACCGTCCTGGCCTGTAGTCGCCTTCTTTGCAAAACATGAGAGCATTTGGGACTTTATTAGCCAGATATATTTAAGAAGAATAATTTAGGAAAACAGTATTCATTGGTATTATGAGAAAGTTCAGAAATGTGGTTACATGTTAAAGTTCTCAGTCAAGAACTCAAGGAGGTTGTTGGTAGGAATTAAGCTTTTGAAAAAGACCAATGAATGACCAGTAACTGATGAAAAGATGTTCAATCTTAGTAATCAGTGAGTGCAAATTAAAACAGTGAGATAACACCGTTCACTTATTACATTGGCAAACATTAGAAAGTTTAATAATACCAACTCTAGGTGAGGGTATGAGAAAACAAGTTAACTTTCATATCCTGCATGTAGGAAGTTAGATTGGTATATCTACTCTTATCTATTAAAATAAAAAATATGTATACCCTATGACTTAGAAATCCCACTTTAAAAATTTACTCTAGCTTTGGAAAACACTTGGACATGTACACATAGAGACATGTATAGAATTGTTCATTGCGTCAGAGACATGTATAGAATTGTTCATTGCATCATCATTTGTAAGTAAAAATTTGGATGCAATCTAAATGTTTAACAGTGGAAAATGACTAACTCATCTGTGTAGCAGCTTTGACAGAATGCTGAAAATCAGACAAGAAGTGATCTTAAGTATACTGAAACTATAAAGATATATTGACCCTAATTTCAATTTCTTAAAGGCCATCCAAAGAACAAAGACAAAGTTTACTTTTTTTTCCTTTAAAAAGAAGAGTAAAACTTATTCTGTCTTACATTTACCATGTGGGTTTATTGGATTCTTTTATAAATGTAAGATGCATTTTGGGATCTTCAGTGATCTTATTTTTTCTATATCTTGGAACATTTTGTTATTTCATCATCTTGAGAATTGTTTCAATATTGTTTATCAATTGTTTCAATTATGCTATAAAAGTCTAAAATAAAAAGAAAATGGGAGAATGATGATGCACGAGTGAGGGGAGAAATCACTGTCACATCATCCTTCTGTTTTCTTATTGTACTGCCCATGTTACATCATCTCCCAAGAAGGTATAAAAGAAAAGTGCAGATGCCACGGTTGGAATCTGCTTCTCACTTTCATTGAACACAGTTGAAAATTTAGAATTTTCCATCTTTCACCCATAAAAGCGAAGAGAAAAAAATTGGCAGAGGCCTTTCACAATTATTAGGTTAATCAGATGATGAATGTGAAGAGAAAGAAACCAGTGCTCTGGATATTCTTGATGATGGTGAAATTTCATGTATCAGCAAAATCTGAGATTCTGAATGCTCAGACAATATCCTAGGTGAGTTTTCTCAAACTGAAGAATTGGCATGTGAATAATGTATTTGTAAGGGCAAAATGAACCCTGTTATTCTCATCAGTTAGTCATTCAATAGGAAACATTCATCATGAAATATTTGATGACAAAAACCTGGACTATTCTGTTTTGTTGAAAGACGTGATAGTATGCTTCTATCTTTCATAATATTTATTCACTAAAATTTACTAGGTACAATTTATAGGTGGACAGACAGGAGATTGAAAGGATATAGATGATATAGAATAAAAGTACTCATTTGATTATTCTAATTGGTGCTGATAAGTCTGAAAATGAAAATATTTTGCAATTATGAAGCAAAGATGACAATCTTCTCTTTAAGAAAATTATGAGCTTTAAAAGATTTCAAAACTTTCAAGTATTAGCATTTCATTGATACAAGTATGAAAAGAATCAGAAATAATGAGCTCTAGAACCTATTAGAAATGTATTAATATTTGGAATATAGTGTTTATGAATGAATATGTTCCAGGTGCATGCTTGACAGCTGATGAGCAATGACATTCAGAATGTGTTACTCATTTCAGATATATATGCCTTGAAAACCAGGAAAATATGGAATAAAACTTTGAGATTTGCTGTGTTTAAATTCTTATTAAAAATTTTCATGAGGTTGATTTTTTTTTTTTACTATCCCTTTATTCACATTTCTGTAAAATTATTTGTGAAATGACCTTAAAGGAGTACATTGGATACACATGGTAAATGGTAAAATCTATTTTGTGTGTGTGTACTGAGGGTTAACTCAGTATAGTAACTGAGGATTAACTACTGAATTTTTTAAGTTTCAGAATGATATATTACAGGATGACTTTACTAAAGAAATCACAACCAGTATGATGCATATATCAACATAAATGCACAGAAGAAGGTTGGAAAGGGTAGACACCCAAGCTGGTCTCAGTAGTAACCTCTGGGAAGGAGAGCTGAGAGTAGGGCAGGGCTCAGAGGGGCTTAGAGACACAGTTAAAACTGTAGATGAAACAAATGTAGATGTTTTGTTAAAAAAAAACATAAAGACCAACAGTGCACCTGGAACATATTCATTCATAAATACTAAATTCCAAATATCAATACACGTCTAACAGGTTCTAGAGCTCATTATTTCTGATTCTTTTCACCCTTGTATCAACAAAAATGCAAATACTTAAAGTTTTTGAAATCTTTTAAAGCTCATAATTTTGTAAAAGATGGTCATCTTTGCTCCATAATTGTAAAATATTTTCATTTTTAGACTTACCAACACCAAATCAACAAAAATGATTTTTGTATCAAAGTAAAAGATACAAAAGACCATAGAAAGATGTTTTAATTACACAATGTATGAAAATTTCAGGTCAATTCATTTCCAATTCCAACACATAGTTTATATTAATAATTACATCTAGAAATAATGTTATTTGATTTACATTATTATATTCATTAATGAAAATAAGTAGCAGTAATCTGAACTGTTATCTTTACTAATGAAAATATTGGTTTGATCTCAGACAGTAATAGGAAAATGAAAAATAAAGCCTGACATGGTGACATGCACCTATAGTCCCAGCCTCCTCAAGGGGCTGAGGCAAGAGGATCACTTGAGCCCAGGAGTTTGAGGTTGTAGCATGCTATGATTGTGTCTGTGAATAGTCACTGCACTCCAGCCTGGGCAGCATAGTGAGACCCTATCTCTAAAAAAAA